AACCATAGCACTCCCCAATCTCTGTGTCATTAAGAAAATATTTGGCCATAAAATAAGTGCATATCTGTTCAACAAAGCTGGGATTTTCAGCCAAATGTTTCCATGCTTTTCTGAAATATTAAGAACCCTCAATTTTCTTTAAAATGCTTTTGTGTAATTTTCTTTGTTTTCTTGAGAATACCCTAAACACACACTTAGGCAAATGGCAATTCAACATAGCAAACCACAGTACCTGTAATATTTTGTAATTGAAATAAAATGAGCAGCACAATGCAGTTATTACATTTTATAAATCAAATATGCAAGATAATTTGTCACATTTCCTAACATGGTAGATCTGGGATCATATGCTTGGGATCCAGCCCTTGTCAGACCATCTTAGGAAACGTGATTTGAACAAAGTGTAACCTCCCTCAATCTGTTTCCAGTTGTTTAACAACTGTAACAGCTTTAGTGGTATGATAACACTCTTGTGAATATAAAATAAAAAATAAGGAATGGAAATTATAGAAATCATAATAGATTACATTAATACAAGTTTATTGACAGTGCTAATAATAACTATATTGTTTTGGTTATTAATGATTTCACATGTACATATCTTATGTCTTCCAAGGAAATTCTATGTTGCTGGCATATGCAAATCATGCTAGTCATATGAGTTCCACAAATAGTTGTTAGCCAGTTCATTAATTCACTCTGTTTGAAAACACATTTTCAATAGAAAAATAGTGGTATACGTAAACTGAGGAAATTGTAACTGACTTCTCAGAATAATAACCAACTATACACCTAGTTTATTTATTTCAGTTAAAGCTGATTATTGAGTTACTTATGCTGAAACTTCCATGATAAATATGGTGTTCTTCTAAGCTCCAACAATGGGAAACAAAGCATTAACCTTTTTATGAATCAGTGAGAAATATGGAAACAGTTTTTATTTTCTAACTATTTTCTAAGCCAACATAAAGGAGATTTACAGCATCATCATAAAATTAAAATATATTCTATGGGAACTTGAAATGTATGGAACATCCCATCATAAAGAGATGAATTAAATAATGTGTATTTTAATTAAAATGTTTTCTTTAAACTTACATAGCAGCCAAAACGCTTAATTTTAATGTTCCAATGTGAATAGCATTTCCAAAACAGTATTTTAATAAAAGTTACTTAGTATCACTCAACACATTTAAACAATGATTTGTATATATCCTTTATCACATAATTTATTTTTTCTGACATCAACTTGGTAGGTCTTTAATTATGTTGTACAAGAAATGATCAGAAATCACAGTGAATAGGGCCGGGGATTTGGCTCAGCGGTTCCGCCACCTGCCTTGCAAATGCAAGGTCCTGTGTTCGATCCCCAGTACCGGGGTGCGGGGGTGGGGGGAAGAAATCAGTGAATATTTAAGAAAAGAACTTGTTATGGTAAAAGATACATTGCCAAGAATGAGGGCACAAGTTTGTTAGACATGAAGGGGAGGGGTGGGGACCTAGCTTAGTGGTTCTGCCACCTGCCTTGCAAGCCCAAGGACCTGAGTTCTATCCCCGGTACCAAAAAAAAAAAAAAAAAAAAAAAG